TAGTGAACTGTAGTAAACCAGGACATCTTTCAGGACAGCATGAGAGTATAAAGCATGAAGAAAAGTTTATTCAGACTGCAGGCAGCAAAAGCTGAGACTGCTGTAATTGTACTGCAGACTACACCTGTTCCCTAAGTAAGGCACTCCCTGCAAAGATATCACCAAGAGATTTCATTAGTCTACCAGGCATTCAGATATACAAGACATGCCCAGAAAGAAAGATGGGAGGAAGACGTTAAAATCTTTTTTCCAATCTTACACATGAATAAGTATTTCACTGTAATTCTGGACAAGAGCCTGCCATGCAACTTCATGACCTCTGCTAAAACTGTTTGTTATGTTTGTATTTATGGGGGGGGGGAGTAGAAAAGAAAGCAAAAGCTACTTTCCTGATACCACAATACAAACCGAGATAATCATAGGTAATACTCTAGGTTTCTTCCAAAAATTGCAAGGGTGAACTGGCAGCCCTGCTGATGCTACTTATTTATGCATAATTAACATGCTGGAACAGCAAAGCTGTCAAGCTGCTATTGAAAAACATCAATCATGGGGGGGGGGAGTAGAAAAGAAAGCAAAAGCTACTTTCCTGATACCACAATACAAACCGAGATAATCATAGGTAATACTCTAGGTTTCTTCCAAAAATTGCAAGGGTGAACTGGCAGCCCTGCTGATGCTACTTATTTATGCATAATTAACATGCTGGAACAGCAAAGCTGTCAAGCTGCTATTGAAAAACATCAATCATGCTTTTATGTTTATGGCTGCAAGCTTTAAGAATGTGTTTTCTATCACCTGAACCGGCAAACACTTTGAGAAATAAGACTCCTCCAAAATTCATAAAACACTGACCCTCATAAAACATTTGACCCTCAAAATGTAAAGATGATTCAAATATTCTACATGGGTGTCGTTAAGTACTACGTTGTGACAAATCACTGAGCAATGTCTCAATTTCAAGCAGGTAGAGTATCACACAGGGATACTAACAGGCAGGACCACTCACTGTTCAACCACACCTACTTCTCCAGCTCAGTCACCAATAAGCAGTGCTACCCAACTTGCCTGAGTGCTGCAGGAATTCACCAATTCTTTTTCGCATCAGTTACAGATTTTAGGGTGGTTCTTCTTTAGAACTGCTAAGTTGAACTCAACAAAAGTTGAGAGGCCTCAGGCTAATAGTTCTCCCTCACAGATACGTCTTTTAGAAATATTACAGGATTTGAGCCTCTACTTCCTTCCAAACTCTTTCAAAAGTTGCTTTCTTGATGTCTTAAAGCTTAACAATAGATTAAGAAACCAGTCAACCAAGACAAACCACAGAAGATTTCAGTTACATCATGTTCTTTCCTTTCCCATTCAAATATTTTGGTGCATTTTTTTCCTTTTTTTTTTTTCCCCTTTTTTCCAACAGCTTTTCTAGGAGATGGGACTTTCTGAGAAGCAAGACTTAACTTTTCAAGATCCGACTCCATTAATGAGAAAAAGTAGACATCAATATTCAAGAACTGGCTTCTGCCATAGAATTCCAAATAGCTCAGCACTATTTTATTTGCTCATCAAAAATCAGAATGAGGCAGCTATTACAGCTGCCAGGGTAATAAGTTAGCTTTTGAAATTCAGGAACAACTCTAAACACAGTGTAATGTATTTCAGTGAGAAGAACCTCTCCAAAGGAAGAGACTCTTCTCGGCAAAGCAAGCTGGCCTGCTGTTAGAAGAAAAAGGAAAGTAGCACGTGCTTTCTCCTCATCTTTTTCCAAAAGGAGGAAAGAAAGGCAGGAAGCAGAGTATTTCAAAAGAATAGCAGCAACAGCACAAGAGCAGAGAAGCAAACTGAATAGGCATAGACATTCCAAGATTGGAGAACAAAGCAGAGCAGACAGTAGAAGAACAGTTAGATAAGTCAGAAAACAGTTTTTAAGGTTCAAATGGTAGAGGCAGATTCAGAATATTCTGAAAAGAAAGAGGCATGCTACTCCTTAAATGGCTACAAAGCTCAGAATTACTTCTTTTGGTCTATGGAAGACACCTAAAATGAGCTAATTGGGATTCAATTTGAGGGAAAGTCAGACTAGTTAGCTACTGTCGTCATGAAGATACTGCTCACCACTAATGGAAAAATAAGACTTTATTCAGACTTAAAACCTCAATCTTTTGTCTTCTGCATGACTGACAATAACTGCATTTGTTTAATGACCTTGACCCACAAAGGCATCTCATTTAGTGTTAGTCTCATATGAGCCTGGGATATCAACTTGAAGTGATATTTCAATATCCTCTGCTATGTTATTTGCTACTTTAAAAAAAAATATATATATACAGTAAGCAAGGGCTACTGATGAAGCAAGGTATTTATGTGCTAGAACATACTGTATGCTGTCAGTATGTCATTTTGTTGTTCGCTTTCAAACATTACTATGTACACAATATGAAAACATTTCATCAGATGGGCTGCCCACACTTGACAAATAATCTGCCTGCCTTGATGTTGCTTGTCTGTTTACTGCTTCCAAGTACTCTCCAGTCTGAAATGCAAGACATTTCAGGACTGAGCCCACCTGTTCTGTTCGTACCTGCGTAGCACGGTGGGGCCCTGATCCACGACTAAATCCATAGAAGCAGACAATGCTGTGCTTGCTCTCCACAGCAAAAGACTGACTTGGTAGATATATAAACTATTTGCCCAGTCCCACCTCAAGTCTAGATTTTTAGAAAACAGCATTTACAAAAGCTCAAAAGCAACAGAAAGTTTTGAATTGCTTTCTCTGTAATACTTTAACAATCTGAGTTAGCTGTTTTCCCAAAGGGTATTCAACTCGCACACTGAAGCTTTGTGCCAGGAACTGAAAAAACATCAAAACCGTAATTTAATCACCTAACATTCATGTTACTTATTTGTACAAATTAGTAATGAAAGTGTTACAAAATGCTCAAGAAAACTGACCCTTACATACATTTTCAAACATCTGGAGACCGTTCCCCATCAGAAGAGCCTACAGTTCACCATATGGCTAGAATAAAAGTGTTTTGGTCATGAAACAGTAAGAAAAATGCACAAGGCAACGCAAATTTCAGCTACGAATCTTCATTGTTCCTAGCAAGTCTCAGTCAGCATATAAATTACATTAAAGCTAGATTTCATTGCCCCAAACGATATTTAAGAGAGCAGGTAAAAAACAGAAGGCACTTCTTATTGCTGGAATACAAGTAGCATTGCCCTGAAGCAAAAACAGATGCATCCGAGAAGATTACTGAAAGCATTAAAAAGGGTTTTTTAAGATGACAGCAAACTACAGCAGGCACTGGCACAGACTATTTGGAGTGGAGCGCAGCCAGTGCCCAGCAGTCTGCAGCAAAGATTTACCTTAGGTTCTGATAGCGTTCCATTAAATTACTTTTTAAAATAAGGCCTAAAATTATTTAAGGTTCATTTATTTTGACATTTCAAGTCAGGACTGCACTTTTGAAACAAATCTCCAGTCAATTCCTCTTACTAGAGTTTTGTTTGCACCACAGAATGCTCTTGGATCACCACCCGGATTCCTTTTGGATTACACTAAATTGAAAGATGCGATTTAAGTGCACTGCTAATGCTCTTTAGCCACAAATAGGCACCTATTCCATAGTTAAAACTAGAGATAGTCCAAATAAGACAGAAACCCCTGAAATCTGTGCAGTGTTGATGTCAGGTTCTCAGCACCTCTTTCAGTCTACAGATCCACTCCTCTCAATCCACATTATTTGCTAATACAGACATAGACTTAGTATTTTTATTTATTTTTTATTCTTTTTTTTTTTCAAACACAGTAATGTCTTCCTAACTGATGCTTCCCACTGTATTTTAATTGAATTATTTCAGCTAGAAGACTAAACAATGGTTCTGTTCCCTTTTTGAAGTCCATAGGCTATTCAGTTCGCCATGCATACTGACAAAAAACTCACTCTCAGGGTATGCTTACGTGAAAAGCTAATTAGAAGGACCTTAAAACTTCTTAACACATTAGTAATTTACACAACACACAATAAATTGCTTCCGGAATTAATTTACATTACACTAAACAGCATCTTGACAGTCAACCTAGCATCACCTAGCTTTGTCATAAAGGCAAGTATAACCACTTCTGCGAGATGCACGTGGTCAGAATAACACAAGTGTTCCACCCATTGCAAAGACAATTTCTTTCCAGTAGACAGTACATTTCAGATAAATAACAGAAAGGACTTGAAGGAATTCAGGATGAAAACTAGTAAGACTAGTAAAGTCTAGGCTAACTAACAAGAGAGCAAGTAAATTGAACTGAAACTAAATAGATTTTCAACAGTTCTTGACATGTTTTCTTTCCAGTGACTCAAATAACTGCTACTGTTAGCAGATTCATAGTTTTGTTTTTTTTTTTTTTTTGTTTCAACATTCCCCAAAGAAAATCTCTAGAATCTATACAGTACTGGGACAACGCCTTATCAGAAAGAAATCTTTAAAGCATTCCCTGAGGAAGTGACAGCTATCATCTCAGAATGCACTATCCTCCCATTTTCCCCTTGGAAGAAAATAAAAAGAAGTTTAAGAAGTGCAAAGGTCACGTGGGTTAAAAATACCTAAAGCTGCTTTTGAAGTGCAAAAAAAAAAGTCGGAATCTTGAAAGTTACGTAATAACAGATTTGATCTAGAAATGTACACTTGCTACATTTCACTGGTATGTATGAAAATACTTTAAAATTCTGTTGTAGATACACAAGCGCTTACATGTACTCAAGACATCGGCATATCATTTCTACAGTTGAATCCAATATGGAGAAGTGAAGAGTTACATCTCTTATGTGTCAAAAACTAAGAACCATCATATCCTGATAAGAACTAGGAAAAGCAACCAGAAGCAATAATTTTACCAGTTACATTACTAACTACATCCACTAGATAAATATTACTGCTGCACTTATCAACAGAAAGTTGAGGGCAGAAAGCATGAAGAAAAAAATAAAAAACAGCCTGAAGTAAGTGAAGAACACTTACTCTTTGACTGACTCCTGGCTAAAAACATTAATGTTCATATTAAAAGTGTTTCTAAATGTGACTTATGCTTCAAGATGAACTAGCCAAATCATTTTGCAGACTGTGAAAGAAACATAAGCGTAACTGAACATTTAAAGTACTTTTTAAAGAATATCAAAGAGCTGAGGATTGCTTCAATCTCACTTACCCTTGCATTAGATAAGGGAACTGGTGGCTTGGTATGAGATTGCTTTGTGCTTGTGGAAGATTACGATGCCTCACTCCATCTGCACTAGTGTTCAACGATGTAGATGAAGCTTCTTGGTTTGTGGGTGAGGCAGCAGTTGATCCAGAACGGTCCAAATTCTTAAAAATAAATAAAATTGAGGTTGGGGATCTTTTTGCCACAGTTACAAGATTTACTACTGTGTCTTAAAAAACTATTTGCTTTAATGTTTTGTCACAAGTTTTATTGAGAATATAAGCACCAGGCAAGTCTTCTGGGGTTTTATTGGTTCTGGCAAGCCTTCAGTAAAAACAGAAATTCAAAATTGCACTGAGGTGCACATATAAAAAAAGTGAAGTTTTCAGGAAGACTCAACACTTGATAGGTCCCAGAGAAAACCACAAGTCACTGGGAATCAAAGTTTCAAAAAGCTGAACCAAACTAAAGTTTAATCCAAAGAATATTTAGCAGCAACAAAAATTCTAGTGGCTATGGTTAACAAAAGTAACTACAACCTCAGGATACAACTTTATATTCAGAGTCAATAGTGCCTGCAGTGGCTTAAAATACCATTCCTCTATTCTTGTCTTCAGGTTCCCCTTCTACTCTTGTACTCATCTTCTTCACCGTGCCAGCTGCCCAATCCAAATTGCTGTGCTCACTGGGAGGGAATGGGGGTGGGAATAAGGAAGTAGCTAGGAACTACTTAGGCTCCCAGAAACACACCTAAAACTAGTGTGTCAGACCTTCAATGCTTTCCAAGATCAATACTTAACCCTGGAAGCAGGACAACAGCTGCCTTTCCTAGACTATTTGTCACCATAACAAGACTGCAATTTGGCCATTGAGATGCGTTATTTTAGTTTTAATAAATCCCCAAATCCTGTGGCTAAGCATTACTGTAATGTTTACTCAGTAGAAAATCCTCTTCAACTTTGACAACTCAGGAAGTGAGGAGCTGCAATTAAAGACATCCATATCACATTTGCCCTACAAAGGAAAACAAGAAAAATTTACCACTAGACAGTGGAGGGGGGGAATAAAAATAAAAAACAAATGGAAGAACAAAGGCCATTCAAGCTTTGGGTTTAGGTTGTTTTCTTCAAAGTATTATGAACTTAACACTGTGCGTACCGACTGCTTTAAGCAGTCATTAATACAGTCATTTAAATGTGACATTTACAACTGATCTACGTAGCAATAAAACAATCACAAAGGAGGCCCCCTGTGTCCTGCTTGCAAACAGAGATATAAATACAGCCTTTGAAAAGACAATGTAACCACTGTCCACTGTCTACTATTGCTTAAACTGCTTGTATTTCTGACTGTCACACAGCAGTCAGAAACAGTACCCTATCGACAGAAGAATGAAGACAGACAGCTTATTACTGGAAGGGTATTTCCCATACGCTGATAATCAACACACCACAGATGAGAAGTACCTACAATGGTATTGTACACATTGCTTTCTGACTAACCTTCAAGGGTTGCTTAGTGATACTGCCAGCTCTGGAAAAAGCCGAGAGAATTACAGTGATGATGACCAAGTCATCAACGGAAACATTAGCTGCCCTTCTGTTAAAATAGAGTACAATCAAAGAACATCATCATTTTTGGAGGGTGTGGAAAGGGGAAGACTCAAAATACCCTAAACAAGTGTTCTATGAACAGCTTAACTAATAAACATTAAGAACACTTTCTACTTCTCACTGTGTTACAGACACTATGACTACCTTGAAGCTACTACATAAGTACTGGCCAATTCCTGACTAGCAGAACGAACGCTGGCCAAGCTCTACCTGCCTATCTCACCACAAGGGCACTAATTTGACTGGTCTCTCTTCAGTGGTACAAATTTTCACAAAACAAATCAGAACTTAGTTGTTTTTTGTTTCTGTTTTTTTTCTTTTTTTTAAATCTGAATACACTGCTCAATTTCAGTCAAAGATAAGGGGATATGAAGAGAAAGGAAAATGTACTTTTTGATAAAGAAAAGTGTTAAGAATAAAGAATAGCTTAGAAAAAGTAGTGTTTTATCATCTAATAAACATCATTGTGTTATAATTTGAAAACAGGTCATCTTTGTTTAAATAAAGTGACACCCTTAAATAATCAAGTCTAATCGTACAAATTCATATGGCATGCTCTACTTCCACCACATTATTTTACAGTCAAATTTTAAAAATTAAAAGAGAAATTCCTGGAAAGCTTCCTCAGTGTAGAAGAAATTAATGTCCTATGTATGAAAAAAAACTCACTGAGCTACTGCTGGAGGTTGAAGCTCCGTGACCTTCTCTACTGGTGCTGGGTTTTGGAGAACTTGGGGGTGTCCGGGAAGTACATACCAGATGAACCATATGATATTCATCTTGCTAAAAATTAAAGAAATGGAAGAGCTAAAACAACGTTTGAGAAATTTACAAGCAAAAAATGTCTTTAAAAAACCACTTCAAAGCTGCATTTGCAAACAGTAAAGAAACATCATACAAAATGGAGAGACCATAAAGCACAACTTGAGCCTAGTACAAGAGAAGTCTACTGTTTCACAACTAATGTTTTCTTTGCTGCTGTCCACAGTAATATATTGAACATTCACTTACCCCCAGTTTTCCCTAGAACTGCAATATAGCAGAATCAGTGGAAGACACAGAGAAACATGAGGAAGTATATCATAAGCTTTAACTTTCATGTTGGAAAAATCTCAAACCCTTTACAGGGCTTGGTTTCCCTAAAGTTAAGAATGCTTACATTTGCGTTGAGATCTAATGAAGAGTATTATTCAATACAGACACCAGGGTAAATGAAAAGTGTAGGCACTGGAATTACACAAGCTGACCAAGATAAGAAAAATTTACCAGCCATTGCCTCCATCTCACTCCAGCCTAAGCTTGGCTCAAGCCTCACCTGCGGACACCCAACCGAAGAGCCCCTGCAGATATTCCACACTCAGTGAATGCTATTCGAAGCACTAGATGGGACTTGAGTATTCCTAAATATTTGAAAGTGAGGAAGCAAACGAGTAGCACCACTTGAAGCTATGTCAGCATGCAGTAACCAGTCCGTGCCAATTCTTCAGAATATGCTCCCCCACACAACACGGATGCTTTAAGAACTTCAATCTGAAACTATTTCACTGTACCAAATGAAAACACCCCATTATATCAGCATGCCTGAAGCTTATATGCAACAAGAACAGCTATGACTGTGTATTTAAATTGCACACTACAGCTTCCTCAGTAACGAAATTTTAAACAAGAAAAGCAACAAAAAAATCCCTCTGTCCTGTTCTGACATCAGCATGGTGCAGTCAAGCTGCAGTTTTTAATGAGATGACATTTAGAAATATGAGGTCTGGAGTTTTTTTTAAACTATTAAGAAAAGACGTTAAAACATTTTTTCATTTTTAAGTTTTAATCTTTAGGAATAAAGAAAACTGGATAACTGCTTTTATACACCATTGTGCATTACTGCCAGCATAGCCTATCCACATTCATTTAAACTCCTCCACATGTACCAGTTTCTAGCCCCAAGCACAGCCTCACTATTACATTAAGTGTAATGTCTTACTAGTTGGTAATAGTAGGCAATGATCAGAGAGCACTGAACGCAGGTGATCAGCATCCTGACCACGTCAAAAGCCTTTAACCTAACTAGTTACCTTCTTTCTAGATAGGAACTTATGCCACTCGGAAAGGCAAAGGAAGCTAGACATACTACTTGTAAGCTTACAGTAAACAGCTTTATTCAAAGAGACAGTTTATTGTAATATATTTCTATTTATACATAACAGCGTTGGACATCACTATGCTTGAAGAGTGCCACAGCTTCCAGCCTCAAGTATTTTATATCAGCGTGTCCTGGTTTCGGCTGGGATGGAGTTAATTCTCCTTCTAGTAGCTGGTATAGTGCTGTGGTTTGGATTTAGTATGAGAATAACGTTGATAACACACTAAAGTTTGAGTTGTTCCAAGCAGCACTTGTATAGTCAAGGACTTTTCAGCTTCCCATGCTCTGCCAGTGAGGAGGTGCACAAGAAGCTGGGAGGGATCATAGCCAGGACAGCTGACCCAAAGGGATATTCCATATCGCATGATGTCATGCTTAGTGCATAAGCTGGGGGGAGTTGGCCGGGGGGTAGCGATCGCTGCTCGGGGACTGGCTGGGCATTGGTCAGCGGGTGGTGAGCAACTGCATCGTGCATCACTTGCTTTGTATGTTCTTTTATTATTATTACTACTACTATTTTACGTTATTTTATTTCAATTATTAAACTGTCTTTATCTCAAGCCACGAGTTCTTTCACTTTTACTCTTCTGATTCTCTCCCCCATCCCACTGGAGGTGGGGGGAGTGAGCGAGCAGCTGTGTGGGGTTTAGTTGCTGGCTAGGGTTAAACCATGACACAGCAAAATGACACTGCTCAGTATCAAAGAGCAAGTATCACAATGCTACACTGAGAGATTTAGTAAATCCTCAGATAATATTAGGAATTTATAGTTAATCAAGTAGGAAGAATATGGCAGAGAATGAGATTGAACTTAAGAGTAATTATGCCTTTTTTCCAAATGCTCTTAAAAGCTTGAGCACAAAAAACTCCTCCCAACACAAATTTTTAATTTTGTGCTTAAGACTGATGACTATGTTTCTAAATTCACTAAATTTCTTTAACTAAACCCAAGGCCTATAGCTACTAAAACGCCCTTAAAGTCAAATATAGCCCCTGTACAGTGAAGGAAGACATTAGTTAGGCAAAGTTTCTCCTCTTAGCACATAAGCAAGGTTTGAAATTGCGTTTCCTAAAACCAGTCTGCTGTAAGCAGGCCAAGTGAATTTAAGGGATTCAGACTTCATTTTGTCCTTAACAAGTACAACTAAGCTTTGAGGTAAGTTATATAACCATTTTCATGAACTTTTAAGTGGTACAGGACACAGAATCACAGAATCACAGAATCACA